AAGTGAAGAACCGGTATCCTTTGCCTCGTATTGATGACCTATTTGATCAGTTACAGGGTGCCCGAGTGTTTTCCAAGATTGATTTGTGTTCTGGTTATCATCAATTGAAGATTCAGGAGCCAGATATCCCGAAGACTGCTTTCAAGACTCGGTATGGTCATTACGACTTCCTTGTGATGTCATTTGGGCTGACCAATGCCCCAGCAATATTTATGTATTTGATGCACAATGTATTTCGGCCCTATATTGACTCATTTGTCATTGTCTTTATTGACGACATTCTGTTGTACTCCCGGAGTCAGGAGGATCATGAGCAGCACCTGAGGAGTGTGCTTCAGACCTTGAGAGAGAAGAAATTATATGCAAAGTTCTCAAAATGCGAGTTCTGGTTGGATTAAGTGGCATTTTAGGTCATGTAGTGTCGAGTGAAGGGATCAAGGTGGATTCGAAGAAAGTGGAGGCAGTGCAAAGTTGGCCCAGACCGTCCTCACCTATAGAGATCCAGAGCTTTCTTGGTTTTGCGAGTTATTACAGTCGATTTGATGAGGGTTTTCATCTATTGTAGCACGTATGACCAAGCTGACCCAGAAGCGTGCTCCATTCATGTGGACATAGGAGTGTGAGGAGAGCTTTCAAAAGCTCAAGACAACTTTGACTACAGCCCCAATACTAATATTGCCTACAGGTTCGAGGTCTTATACTATTTATTGTGATGAGTCGCAAGGTCGCCTCAACGCGGTGTTGATGCAGGACCGTAGGGTGATTACCTACACGTCTAGATAACTGAAGGTGCATGAAAGGAATTATCTTGTCCACGACCTTGTGTTAGAAGTTGTTCATGCCTTGAAGAATTGAAGGCACTATCTGTACGGTATCCCTTGTGAGATCTACATTGATCACCGGAGTTTGCAGCATCTGTTCAAGTAGAAGGATCTTAACTTGCGGTAGCGAAGGTAGTTAGAGCTACTTAAGGATTATGATATCACTATTTTGTACCATCCCGGGAAGCCCAATATAGTTGTCGATGCCTTGAGTCGCAGGGTGGAGAGTTTGGGGAGTTTAGCATATTTACCATCATCAGAGAGGCCATTGGCATTGGATGTTCAGGCCTTGGACAATCAGTTTGTTAGATTGGATATTTCTGAGTCGAGTTTTGGCTTATGTGGTCTCCCAGTATTCTCTTTATAATCGTATCAGGGAGTGTTAGTATGATGACCCCCGTCTGCTCGTCCTTAAGAACACGGTTCAGCACGGTGATGCTAAGGAGGTCACTATTAGGGATAATGGTGCATTGAGGATACAAGACAAGTTATGTGTGCCCAATGTAGACGGATTGCATAAGTTGGTTCTTCCGGGTGCCACGAAGATGTATCAGGACTTGAGGCAGCATTATTGGTAGCGAAAAATGAAGAAGGACATAGTGAAATATGTAGCCTGGTGTCTAAATTGTTAGCAGGTGAAATATGAGCATCAGTGACCTGGTAGATTGCTTCAAAAGTTAGAGATTCCGGAGTGGAAATGGGAGCGAATCACTATGGATTTCGTTGTTGGACTCCCATGGACTCATTGGAAATTTGATGCGGTTTGGGTGATTGTGGATAGGCTGACCAAGTCAGTTCATTTCCTTCCTCTGATGACTACCTATTCTTCTGAGCATATGGCTCGAGTTTATATCCATAAGATTGTTAGGCTTCATGGCGTACCAGTATCTATCATCTCAGATCGGGGTACGCAGTTTACATCACGATTTCGTAGGGTCGTACAACAGGAGGTAGGTACTCAAGTGGAGTTGAGCACAATATTTCACCCTCAGACGGACGGACAGTCCGAGTGTATTATTCAAATTCTAGAGGATATGCTCCGTGCGTGTGTGATGGAGTTTGGAGGTTATTGGAATCAGTTCTTGCCACTTGTAGAGTTTTGCCTACAATAATAGTTATCAGTCCAGCATTTAGATGGCACCGTATGAGGCTCTGTATGGTAGGCAGTATCAGTCCCTGATAGGTTGGTTCGAGCCGGACGAGGCCAGATTATTAGGTACGGACTTGGTTCACTATGCCTTGGAGAAGGTTAAGGTGATACAAGATAGACTTCGCACAACCCAGCCTAGATAGAAGAGTTATGCGGATCAGATCGTTCATGATGTTGCATTCATGGTTGGAGAGCGGGCCTTGCTCCCGGTTTCGCCTATAAAGGGCGTTTGAGATTTGGGCATATGCAATTGCTGAAGCTATATGAGTTCTGGTGTTTTCGCACTTGCGGTGGGGAGACCGCAGGTGCGGGCTCGCAAGTGCGGAGAAGCAAGCACAGAAGCGAAAATTGAGGAGTTTCCAGGGATCGCAGGTGCAAGGTGAATTCCACATCTGCGATGCCCGCAGATGCACTAGAATGTACGCAGAAGCGATAAAGGACCGCAGAAGTGGAGAAGTTTCTGCAGGTGCGCACACGCTGGTGCAACCACCTTATCGCAGATGCTGACCTTGAGTACTTAAGTTAAGTCTGCACCTGTGATGGATTTTCCACATGTGCAGAACCGCAAATGCGGTGGACCCCTCGCAGAAGCGAAATCACTAGCAGAAAAGGGATAAGTGCGAGGTTTTGATTTCATTCTCCACTTTTGGACCTAGATAGCTTGGATTGAGGCAAATATTTGAGGGATTTTTAGAGCAAGCTTGTGGGTAATGACTCTTAACTCCTTTATGGTTATATTCCACTAATCTATGGTTAATTTCATCATTTAATTAGGGATTTGAGTTGGAAATTTGAAAAACAAAATGGTAGAAACTTCCTAGACTAAGTTTTGAGATTCGAAAGGCGATTTAAGGTCGGATTTGAGAAATTCTTGTATGGTTGGATTTGGAAAGAGCATTGTTACGGATTGATTTGAGCTTGGTTCGAGGTAAGTGGTTTGCCTAACCTTGTGTGAGGGAACTCCCCTTAGGATTTGGTACTGTTTTGATATGTGAGCACCGTGTACGTAAGGTGACGAGTACGTATACGAGCTATTTATTGTAAAACTCTATTTTTCACTAAGTAATAACCTGTTTCATTTTAATTGAGTTACACTAGCATATGTACTTATCCTGTTTAGTTTAGAACAACATGTCTACGTGTATTAATTGGTTATCTGAACTCTGTGCAGCATGCTTAGTGAATTCTCTGCTTCTTCCTTGAGTTATACTTACTCTAAATTGTAGGATTTCGTGTTGTAGCTATTATTTCTATTATTTGAGCTGCATATTTACTTTTAGGACTATGGAACGGTCTTCCAGGAAATCCCCTGCATATTTACTTTGGGACTACGGAACGGTATTCCAAAAAATCCCCCTATCTTGCATATTTACTTTGGGACTACGGAACGGTATTCCGGGAGATCCCCCATATCTTGTATATTTACTTTGAGACTACGGAACGATATTTCGGGAGATCCCCCTGTACATTTACGTTTGGGACTACGAGACGGTATCTCGGGAGATCCCTTGTTGTTATCTTTGTGTACTGAGCTGTTACTTTCTATGATTTCATTCTTGTTAAATTTCAGTCTTTATTTTAATATGTACTTTGGGACTACGGAACGGTATTCCGGGAGATCCCTATATACATTTACGTTTGGGACTACAAGACGGTATCTCGAAAGATCCCCTGTTGTTATCTCTGTGTACTGAGTTGTTACTTTATATGATTTCATTCTTGTTAAATTTCGGTCTTTATTTTACTGCGATATTTTATCCTGTCTTGTTTTATTATACACACAAACACACACCCCAGTAGGGCCCTAACCTGACCTCGTCACTACTCGATCGAGGTTAGGCTTGACACTTATTGGGTACCGTTGTGGTGTACTCATGCCCTTTCCTGCACATGTTTTTCGTGTGTAGATCCAGGTACCTCCTACCAGCCTCGTTATTAGTTGCATAGTTGCTGCCATTCCGGAGACTTCAAGGTACATCTGCCGCGTCCGCATACCTCAGATTCCCCTTCTATCCCCTCTGATGTTGCTTCTTTTTTATTTATTCTAGTACAGATGTATAAGACAATTGACAAGGATCTTAGAAGCTTGTGACTTATGGTGTTCCGGGTCTTGGGAGAGTTGTGTACATTTCAAGAATGATTATTGTATATGCGGAGCAGCATCTTATTGCTTAACTAAATTTCCTGATCGTTATTAGCTTTTAAGTTTTTCATTTCATTTTCCGCAAATGTTAGGCTTACCTAATCGTAGAGACTAGGTGCCGTCACGACAATTCACGGAGGAAGAATTTGGGTCGTGACACCAAGCTTTTGAAAAAGTATTTTTAAGTGTATTTTTTTTTTCTCAAAAGTGCTTTACAAAAAAAATACTTTTGGGAAGAAACTACTTTTCATGCTTTTTAAAAAATGTTTCTGTTTCTACTTTAAGACACTTTTTTTCCTTCTAAAAGTTTGTCAAATAATTTAACTTTGGAAAAAAGCTTAAATGGACTAAATTTTAAAAAAAAATTAAGCATCTTTATTGAGTTCCACTCCTATTTAATATTTATTTTTGTTTATAAATAGATGACTTGTCACTAATTTATCAGCTCATTTATATTTTTCATTTAACAATTTTCTTTATAAAAATTGAAAAAAGTTCCCTTTTGAAACAAGCACTAGTGATCCACTTTGTTGGGAAATATTTTTAAAACATATATATAACATTGAAGAAAAAATAATGGAAAGAAAGTAATAATTATACTAATTTTGCATGCATATTATAGAAGCAATGGATTTCGACAATTCGCTAGTAGTAATTATTGTATATAATATAGGGGAAAATATGAGAATTTTCAACGTTGCACCAACTGAGTAAAATGCTTTACCTTTTTTTCGTGTTTTTCTTGCTGTTTGACTCAACATTTGAGCAGAGTTTGCGAGAAGAGAGATTAGCTTTGAGTCAATTGAGATCTTCATTAGGAATAAGAGCCAAAAGTGGCCTATAAGAGCAAATTTATGTACAGATTGGAAAGGAATTCGTTGCAAAAATGGCCATGTTACGGAAATCAACATCTCTGGTTTCCACGTACTACAGTTGGGTTGGGCAACAAAACCCTCAATTCTCTGTTGAAGCCCTTCAAAATTTGACACTTTTAGAAACATTTAATGCATCCAGTTTTGCACTTCCTGGCCCTATTCCCCAATGGTTTGGTTTTAAACTTGCATCTACCTTACAAATTTTTGATCTTAGATTCTGTTCAATTACTGGTCATATTCCATCAAATTTTGGCTATTTGAGTAATTTAACTATTATATACTTGTCCAATAATAATCTTATTACTGGGATTGTGCCATCGGGTTTGGGCCAATTGTCGAGTGCGGTTCTTGATATTTCACGTAATTCACTTGTCGGGTCAATTCCGGTATCATTTGGGTCTCTTAGGAACCTTATTATGCTCGATATGTCTTCGAATGCCTATTCCTCCTAGTATTGGGACTTTATCTAAGTTGAGATTTTTGAATCTTTTAAATAATAGCTTCTCTTCTTCGATAGTTGTCCAAGGTGGTTACCTTAATAAAGTGGATTAGGAACTTATGGCGAATTGCAATTGGGAAGATTGTCTGAATTCTGATGATATGTTATATACTACAGTATAACATTTACTTCCTTTTACAGCTTATTTGGACGGTTGTGTATTGTTTCATAATGTATTTCATTGTATTGTACTGTATTGTTTTGATGTATACAATGTCTGAATAGATCGTATTGTTTGCCGTTGTTTCATGATTTCATGCACCAACAATATGAAGAATAAACTTATAATATTCTTTAAAAAAAGTAAGGTACGAAGTAGAATTATTATATAAAATACTATTAAAAAATAGTTTTTTTTAACTACCAAAATAGTCAGAAAAGTGTCTATTCCGACTACTTTTCGACTGTTTTAAGTAGTCGGAAACTGGTACGTCGGAAAAATATTTCCGACTACAATAGTTGAAGAATTTGATTTGCCAAATATCCGAAAAGGTAGGTATTTTTTGATTGAAGTAGTCGAAATATTAATAAAATAATTATTTATTTTAAAAAATATTTCCGACAATTGTAGTCATAATAGCATATAAGAAATAATTATTTATTAAATATTTCGACTATTGTAGTCGGAACATAGAGATGATAAATAATTTTTTATTTTCTTTTCCGATTACTGTGAGCACGTGATTTTTGCTTCACGCGACAATCGCTCCAAAAGAAATAAAAAATAATAACAATTGATCCTGTTGTACAATTTTTGGATTTTTACATGGCACTTTGTTAATTGTTTGTGATTTTTTGCCCATTTTATTTTTATTAAAACAAGATACAAAAAATGTATGTGTCATGCATAATTTGAACCGTAATCCGGTTGTTAAACAGAAAATCATAAATAGGCATCTTTGTCCGTGATTTTGTTTTGTTTGATTTTACCTGTTTTAAAATATTTTAATGTGTGTGCAAATAATTGTATTAAGTGTTTATTTAATTTTAATTTGATTTACTTAGGTTTTGTTTTTAAAATAAAGAAGAAAATAAAATAATAATAA